ACCACCCTTAGTCTGTAAGCTTTATTACCTTCCTGAGCCTTAGGATCCTTCTTCTTATCAGCAGGAGAGAATAATCTAATTTGAAAGAAATAACTACAAAACAACCAATTCATATATTTGACTTTATTTCATATTAGTTGCATATCATGCAATCATTAACACCTTGGGATCAATGTGTAGATTATTTTTGAATATAATTATCATTTATAAATAGATTCAATTGCTGCTTAGAGCAAGAATCAAATCTGTTCTAATGCACCATTTTAATCAGTAAAATTAGCTGACAAATTGCATGCATTTGCCAATTTTAGTCATGACTTAATTCAGCAAAAGTTTATAATGCTTAATAAAATTATTATCTATTCAGCATAGTAGAGTATTCATTTTCAGAATGTTACAATTTTGATTTTTAGATCTGCCTAATAAATAGTTTTTTTAAGAATTATTTCTATTGATAATAGCTTTCAGATTTCTAAAACATTCACATCCCAATATATTTTTTCATTTATCAATCTAGGTTTAAAGAATTCTTACTTCACTCTTCTGGTCTGTTGAGCTAGTATTATATGTCTATCTCAACAACCATGTTAATCACTGAAGGGATCTTTCCTGAGAAATGCCTAGCCAGACATTTATCTCCTCGCTCCATGCTCTGCGTCCAGAATGGAGATGAAGTGTTTTCTTCCATCTATGACCAGTTCGTGCAGAGACAACAGTGCTATTGAGAGTCAGGTGTCATCTTGTCACACTCTTCTTTGTTACATGACCTCAGAAACATTTTATGTGGCAGTACTCTAGGGGTCCAAACATTAAACATCTAAGACAAAAGCTATGTCAAAAAGTATGTGTCATTTTTTTCCTTTACAAAATTCTCTGTATTGAAAAGAATTGATTTTCAGTTTACTATCTTTGAAATTTTACATTGATGAAACTTAGATAGAATGCTTAAACATTCTCTCACCTATGACCTAGTATATTTTTCTATGAGATCAATTCCTAAAGAGTGAGAATCCTAAGCAGATATAAAATTATTAAAAACTCACCTTTTCTTACCATATAATATTCTCTAAAAAGATATCATTCTAGAGTTGACAAGACCCTGAGACTTTGATCTTAATAGCATATATTTTGTCTACTAGGTTAAATACATGGGAATCAAAAGGCAACGGGATTTTCAGGAAGAGAAAATGTAAATGTCTGTGTCACAGCATGCTAGATCACCCTGAAAGCAAAACTGAGTCTAAGATTCAAGGGAAGCAATTATGTTTTCAGAACTTTGATTTTCAGTTGCATAGTTTATAATAAAAGTTGAACTTTGGAGATGGAAGCAGATGGAAGCCTGTTTGATGGGCTCTTCTTTTTCTACCATTCCATAGTCATTTCTGCAGATTCTGATGGGCTTGCAGAGCTGTAAGAAGCAACATATATTATGATGTAAATGCCATCATTATGACATATGCTTAAACTTCTGCTGAGAAATAAATAAAATATCTTGAGATGCCTGCTGTTTATCCCAGCTGTTTATTTCTCACAGCCCATAAATGGAAAAGTCACACAGTTTAGCATTTATATGTTACCACGGCATTTGGAAATAATTAAAATTCTTTCAGAGAGTACTTTCTTTTCATTCTGAATTAGAATTTGCAATTTCCAGAAGAAAGGGCAAAGCAGGGCATTAACAGAGGTTAAACTAAGTGTATTTTTTTTCTTGATTTGTGATCTTACTAGGTTTTTTTCCTCTTCTTATTTCAATTTTCTTACCATTTAATAACTGAGGAGACAACCTGAAATAAGTTCATGGCTCTTCATCCGTATACCAGTCTGCATCTCCAGTGGAGACAAAATTACCATTGGGAAAGTGTGTAAACTGGTTTGAGTACAATGGGTCTGGCTTGTGCAGACACTATTGAACATCAAGACATGAGAACCAAGGGACATACAATTCCACCACTAACACATGCTCTGGTATCTTAAAAATTAAAAAAATAAAAAACAAGTGAACAATTCTGCATTGATAATCTAATGGATGTATTCATGCATGAATATTTCAATATTTAATATTTACTCTTTCATATTTTTTATACAGCTATATATGGTTATAATACACAAATTCTAGTTTAACAGTAGGTTTAAGTTTTATATATCATAAGAAAAAATGTAGCAGTATGTTCATGTTTGTTGATTTGCTTAATGAGTCCAATGACCTAATAAATTTTTGTCTGCATCTGAACACTAGTTACTATTTGGCAGCAGAACAGGTAAATTCTATCACAATTGTGGGACATGCTATTGTTTAAAAAGTTCACATCTTAAAATATAATTATCATTTTGATTTTTTCCTCATTGTTTGAATTGTTTTAAATAAAGCTATATGAGAACTTCATTAAACTACCATTCATAAGTGGTTAATATAATCAAGTAAGTCAAGTATTTATTGAAAAGAATTAGAATAATTTGTATAACATTTGCTGTCAAATTAATCCAAAATTTTATTCTAGTTGTATTTCAAATGTGTTCATTGTTCCAAATGCTAAAGAGTCATTTATTATCAAAATTTTCAAAAATGAGTATTTGTGAGTATTAGCATTCATAAGGTTATGTGAATTTTTCAAATAATTTTTATCCTTAGGAGACTGAGAAAACTAAATTTATATCCTCTCTAAACAGAAGATTGAGACTGAATCACTTATTATCATAAAATCACTTAAAATAGCTCTAGAATTTATAGTGTAATCATGAATGTATTCATTATTTGCATGTTAAGAAAAGCAGTAAAACTTTCACAAATTTGTCATTGCATATAAATTTTATTCTGATGCTTGGTGAAATAATATTAGTTACATTTAGATACTTTTTTAATTTAGAAAATTAAAATTTTCAACATACCATTGGATTGGATGTTTAATTTTTATTGTCTAAAATGTCATTATATTATTTGTATTTTTTAACGGGAGGGGGTAAGGAATTATTTGGCTTATATTTCCACAACACTGTTCTTTATTAAAGAGAGATAGGACAGAAACTAGAATAGGGCAGGGACCAGAAAGCAGGGGCTGATGCAGAGGCTATGGAGTGGTACTACCTACTGGGTTGCTTGTCATTGTTTTCTCTGCCTGTTTTGTTTGTTTGTTTGTTTGTTCTTTTTTTTTTTAAAATAGAACCTAGGTCTACCAGGCTAGAGCTAGCATAACCCACAATAGGCTGGGCCATCCCCGTCAATCACTAATTAATAAAATGCCTTACAGCTGGATCTTAGGTAGGCATATTCTCAATTGAGGTTCCTGGCTTTCAATTATCTTTGGCCTGTGCCAAGTTGACAAAAATTTGGCCAGCTCAGGGGCCTTAATTTGACTCTAGATGTGTCTTTGCGGTGATACAGTTTATATCTCCTTTTGTCGTTTAAGCAGAGAGCTGCTATCTTTCAAATGCCTTCTGCTCTCTTCTTACCATCCACAGTTGTCCTTGATGGTCTGAAGCTTGAGGAGCTGAAAAAGAAGCAATCTTTCAGTGGATAGCTTTGTGGCGACTGACAAAAATCTCTTCCTAATTTTCTTCAATCAGGCTTCAATGTATCCAACGTGTTTAAGCCACAAATAACCTATTTAAAGGCAGTTCAGAATGCTCTGTAGAAAACATCTTTGAGGTTTTGAACATACATCACCTTGAAGCAAGTTTTAAAACTTAGGAATAAATAGGAAGATGCAAGAATACTGGTTGGTGTGCTCCTTTTTCCTTTTCTTTTCTTTCTTTTCTTTTTCTTTTTCTTTTCCTTTGTTTTAAACTATTTATTGGTTCTTTGCAAATTTTACACCCTGCAACCCAATCTTACTCATCGCTCTTTTCACTCCTACTCACCCTCCCCCTTGCAACCCCCCCCCCGATCAACAGAAAGAACATACATCTCATTGTGGAAGCTGTAGTATGTCACAGTGTGTCCCACATCTTGGCTTGAAACTAACTGTGCATAGAAATGACACTTGGGTCTGGTTTGAGGCTGCTGGCTACTGCTACTCTATCCATATTGGATTCTCACTGGATCCCTGTGTCATGAGGATCCTGTTGCTTAGAACCTGTAGGACAGATGCCTTTCCAGCAGTTCAGCAAAGGCTAGATATTGAGATGGGCCATTTCAGAGCCCTGGATCTGAGTCTGAAATGTACCTGAGGGGGTCAGTCCACTTGCTCTCCCACTTTCAGCCCCTCAGAGCCAGGTCGTCAGCAACTGCCACGCTACCCTGCAGCATGCAAGGGACGAGGACAGCTCTCCTGCTCTTATGAACCTAGAGTCAGCACTTTCTGCATTCGACAACAAGGAGCAAGGGAGTGGAAGGTGAGTTCTTTCTCATCCATGCTGCTACACAGCATACAAGTTATGGTGTCAGCTATCCCAGGATGGGACTCCAGGTGGTAGAAAAGGCCAGGACCCACCATGGTCCCAGGTGGCATCACTAGCTACTCACATCAGGCTGGTGGTCCTCATTATCCTTGGTTGTCCCGTTATGCCTCTCTTCATTATGCCCACCTGTTATTCCTCTCTTCATTATGCCCACATCCTTCAGATTCTACTTTCTTCCATTTCTCTACAACTTACTTGCTTCTCTCTCAGTAGTACCTGGAATCTCTGAGTATCTGGGGTTGTCTCAGGTGTGGATTCAGGAGTGTGATGACTCATTTATACATGATGATGCTAGACAGTGGTCATCTCAGGCATGGTCTGCTTCCCCAGGCCTGAATGACACCAGATTGGTGGTTATCTCAGGCTAGTTCCCTCTCTGCATCCCATGATGCTTCTCTAATATCTTAAGTGCTTTAGGCTCTCTGCTTGCCCTACCTGCCTGAGTAGCCCTTTGTGAGGGTCATCTGTATTGGGCTCACTATTCTCTGGCCCTCTGGTCCCTAGTAGGGTTCTTCTAGTCTGTAGCTTGCTCCCTGTCCTTGGGGCCCTTCTGAGTCTATTTGAGATCAGGCTGGTGGTTGTCTCAGTCTCATATTTTTCCAGAGAGTGTTAGGCTTCTAATCTATTTAAGTGTTGGTCAGAGCACTGAGCATTGTCACATCCTTTGTCCTCTCTGCCTCCTACTGGCACGCAAGTGACACAGAGTCCATACCTGCAATACACCTGTAGTGGAGGACTTTACTTATACTTTTATAAAAATTAATTTTATATAGTTTTTCATGGTTTTGGGACATGTGTATTCCAAAGTTATAATACATTAAACCAAGCATTCCACTTGTAAATTGTGGCAGTCTATTCTAGCCATCTCATGTACAGGGGATTAATTTGGCCAAGTTGATATCTGTTAAAATGATATGACCTAAAGAATCCTTCCTTGTGAGATATGTATATATATATATATATTTCTTTTCTCCATTCATGCATTCATGGCATTCATTTAATTGTTCACACTTGCTTTCACTTAATAAACTGGGACAACATGGCAAACATGATTCAGCTTTAAACATTACTTACATTCAAATCAACATTTCACATAAAGGTTTTAGTTGAAAATTCTGATTTTTTTATTTGCTTTAGGATAATGAGAAATTTTCTTTATCCCATAAATGTTTTAAGTCTGAAACCAGAATATTTGTGTTACAATTTAAGCCCGGATAGAGTGTCGTTAATGCTACTGCCTGTGTACTAGCACAGACTCCTGCTTCCTCTGGTCTTTCTTCATGATCCCATTCTTAGGTTGTGTTTTTACTGGTATTGAGCAAGGCACAGATTTGGATAATTAGTCAGGAATTTCACAATCTCAACAATGCAAATAAGACAACAGGTTCTGATCATCGAGGGTCAAACTCTTCAAGTGCAAGGTTTGCAAAGGCAAGCTTCTTCCGTCCTTGTGGTCTGCTTGTGTTTCATTCTGCAGGACACCACAGCCCCAGTAAGGCCTTCGAAATTCCCCTGTGAATTAGTAAGAAAAGCAAGACTTTTTAAAAATCGAAAAAGCAGCAGTTCCAATGAAAATATTAGAGTCCTGCAGAAGGACACATAGACTTGATCTTAAGTTGTAAGTAGGAAAGAAAATCTGAGGCTCTCTATAGTAACCCATAGGAAGCCCTTTGGCTACAAGATGTTGTCTTTTTTTCATATTAAAATTAAGTACAGGATTTTACATCTTTCATCAAACTAGGATTCTAGCTGAAGTTCTAGCAGAAACTGAGCCCTGAATTCACACCTTCTTATAAAAATCTTTGGTTACACAATGTCAAAGCCAGGGCCCTTTGACTTTGGTACACATCTTCAGAAAGGACCATATCTGTTATGTTTTAAATATGACAAGTCACCATAGGCTCATGTTATGAATGTTTGCTCTCCACCTGGTTGGTGGTATTTGGAAATGTGCTTAAAAGATTTGTGGAACTTGGAACCAATGTGTCATTTCTTCCAAGTACACTTGTTGATACTTTGATGGGTGTGACACTCTTGATACTTTGAGCCAAATAAATCTTTTCTCCTTTAAGTTGTTCTTTGGAATATATTGTCACTGTAACAAAAATTTTTCTAACATAACTCCTAAAATACAATGCTGACTCTATGGTGAACTATTTTTTCTGTAGCTACTATAGCAAATTGTAAAATCTTGGGGCCTTAAATCAAAATAAATGCAATTTTTCATAGTTGTGGATTCTAGAAGTCTGAATTATGGCAAGACTGTGGTCCCCAGAGGCTCTAGAGAAGATATGTTTTCTTCTTATTGTAGTTTTCTATAACTGTTGAACATTCACTGGCTTGGTCTGTTAATTCCATCAGTTTTCTCTTTGTGTGTGTTTTATCATTTTGATTAGCATCTTGCTTGTACAAATACACAGGATGATTCTCATGACACCACTTTCTAAGCCAGGGTATAAACTTTTTAAGAATCATTGCTTAATTCAGTTGTCAGACATAAAAGGTGACTCTTCACTTATAAAATATGAAGTAATATTTGAATATCATTGGATTAAAACTGGATTTTTCTGTTTTGAGACATCAGTCAGGTCTGTAGAGACAAGGAAAAGATCTTTTTATATGCATTTATTTTATGAAAAGATGAGCAAAGAGACAAAAGCACACTGAGTTCATAGCAGTTTTGAAATCAGTCCAGGCATATCCATCCACTTACTTCTCCACAAGAAGTCTTGGAAGTTAATTAGAGCAAGGCTTTCATCCTTGACAATAGTTCATTTCAATTCTTTCCTCTATATTCTGGGTTCTTGAGTGTTATCCCAGAATTATCTTTTTTTTTTCACAAAGTAAAAAGTACCTGCATTAGCTAAAAATTTATCAATCTGCTTTTTATCTTATGGGAGTCTTAAGGCTGTATTTATTTTAAAGTGTGATTGCAACCCCATAGGAAGAACAACGCCAGCTGGCTGGACTACCCAACCAAAGAGTATACAGGGAGGGATGCATGACTCCAGGTACATAGGGAGGAGAGGATGTCTTTGTCTGACATCAATGGGAGGGGAGGCCCTTGATCCTGTAGAGGTTCGATGCTCCAGCATAGGGAACACTGGAGCAGTGGGACAGGAGAGGGTTGGTGGGTGAGGGAGTACCCTCATTGAGGCAAATGAAAGGGAGGAGTGGGAAATTTTTGGATGAGGCACCTGTGGAGGGGTAACCAGGAAGTGGGCTATCATTTGAGATGTAAACAAATGGAATGATTAATATAAAAAATAAAGTGTTTGAATGCATTTTATTGTTCAATATAATAAAAAATACTATAAGTAACTGGGTCTTCTGAACATGTCATGTACTTATTATATGTAAATGTTATTGACATTCACCTCTGTACAGAGAAATATTAACTATCTACGAGGGAGTCTGGATCAGGGGTGTCTTCTTGTGTTTTGGCCTAGCCTGGGTTATATAATAAGATAGAGTCTCAAGGGAAAATACATTGAAAGGCAATCTGGTAGAAGATTAAATTCAGCTTCTGAAGTAGGCATAAAAGGAGGTTATGGATATGATATGCAAATATGTTGGCTGTGTGAAATTCTGAAATCATAGCCAAGTTTCCAGTGATAAACTTGTGGTTGCTAATGTCAGCAGGTCTAGCAGGAAGGAGGATGGAGTAGCTGTCAAGGATGGGAAAACTAGAATGATAAAAGCTTTCTGTGTCACCATCCCAACTTATAATGAATTCCTGTGAGGAAAGAACGCTGCTTCAATTTCACCCTTTGTATATCACAAAAATTATTTTCACCTCTTTTCTTCCAAAGAAAGAGAGTTCTGGTAAAGTTTCACTTTGTTGTGTCAAAATGAACACAGCTAGACTTTCAGTTTTTAGGCTAGAGCAGATGCTATTCAAGAACTCCTGACAGGGCAGGAAAGGCTGAGATGCCCTTATGCAGTTGATTGGTGTCTTAACAGGAGAGGGACAAGCAGATAGAGCTCATTAGAGTCTGTGAAAGGAACTACTACAAAGGGTGGTCAGTAGAAATGGACTAACTGCACCTGCTGGCTGGCAGCTGTCAAACTGAGAATTCCATTCTCCCATCTAAGAGACAGAGTACCTATCCTTGATGATGATAAGAGGTTAAAAGAATGCCTTTAAGTTCTTGGGATATATACTTCTGAGGTTTAAGAAATATTACTTCATGATTACAAACTTTTCTGAAGTAAATGTGCTAAAAATAAAAGTAGTGAGGAGTCTATCAAGGGACTGTCTACAGCCAAGAGTAAGGTCCCCTGACAGAATCAGCATTGAGCTTTCTCAGCCATATTTGTTAATGAGAGCGTGAAGTCATCCTTAAAGCATGACATTAGGATCCTAGGAGCCATTCTAGGTCCAAGGGCAACAACATGAATTAATTATTTACATACAAAGGGATCTCCATTACTTAATCAAAACATGCAGAAACATACATTGTATGTATAATACATTTAGTAAAGTCAATTTAATATATTGCTATAGACAGACAAGTTACTGGTATTATTATTTCCTTTGGGGTATTTTAGTTTGAAAGTATGGCCTCTGAAGGGTTAAGCAGATGATAAGTAATTTCTTCATGTGTCCTTTCATATTTTTGCATTCTTTAACTTGACTTTGAGGCACCAATCATGTTTAACGTCAGGATTTTGCTATTGTTTTAAGTATAGTATTCTAAAAACAGTTTTACGTTTTCTGAGATTTGATTTGTCATATATGAGGTTTAGAATACAATCATTGTGCGTTGTTACAGTTTATACAAAAGTCCATCGAGTCCACTTAAAATGTTAACTCAGCTGCATAGTACGTTTGACATTATTACCTACATACAGAGGAAGAAAGTAAATGGATTTACTGTAACTTTTCACTGTTCTGGAGTCTGGAAATGTCTGTAAACCTATTGTTTTACTCTAAATCCACGTGTAAAGAGTACTCAAACCCCCTAAATTATATTTCACCTATTAGTTCACTGTTTTTCTTGTTATAATCACAAATCTAATAAAGATACACAACATAAACAGAGGACTTAAGGTGGTAAAGCGTCAATTTTCCCCATTTTTGCATTCTAAACAATGATTCCATCAAGACAGAACAGTAAACTGGTTTATTACTACAATTTAGAAAAATGAGAAGGCCTGAGTTCATACTACATTGACTATGTTAGCTCATTTGTGATCAACAATGTTTTATTTATCAAAATATTATGTTGCCCTGCCATAGAGTTTCTATGTGACAACATAACACTATGACCAAAACCAACTTGGAGAGCAAAGAGTTCATTTTATCTTGCAGATCTTAGCTCATAATACAGAGAATTTCTGGAAGGAACCTGGAATAGTGACCATGAAGAGATCACAGAGGAGTGATATTTACCACATGCCATTCTGGTGGCACAATTATCTCAATTGAGGCTCCCGCTTTCCAAATAATTATAGCTTGTTTCAAATTGGCATAAAACTTGTTGGTATAACCCCTGATAAATATGAAATTTCCTATGCCAACAAATCTTCAATAGACCTGTAGGGAAAAATATAGAAATAATGTCATAATGTGGATTTCAATGTAATGGCAATAAATGAAAGAACCATGGTGATAAGAGAATGCAAGTATTCTTCAATGCTTATATAGTCCACTAGAGCTGATAATGAATAATGAATCTTGCTTAGAGAGCACTTTCTTTGGAAAGTAGTCACTGTCTTTTTGACCGTCTTTTT